CATTACTGGTCAGTTTTACATATACCAGTATCACTGCTAGGTTGAGAATGGTCCACCACCCAAAAATATCCGATCAAGAACAGCTTTGTGGTCAGAAACTGACCACTGATGAAGGGCTGCAGGATATCTAAAACAAACTGTGCACTACCAGCAAGGTGGAGCTACTGTTTTTTTTTTTAATGTGGGCTCAGTATAGTAACGTATATAGACTAAACAGATTTGCAGAGAACAATTTACATGTACTATAATTTGAAAAAAGGAAAAACGATTCTTATTGGGGCATCAGCAGACCAGAGAAGTGACTTTTGTGCAAACTCAGGTTTCTCTGTAACACTACGGTTATCATAAATTACAGTCTCTAATAAATATAATGAAAAGAAAAAGGCCTAGTTCTTAAAGTCCGAAGAAAGTCGGATGTTCAGGCTGATTGTAACAACTCTGTCTCCCATTTTTGTGCAGATGCAGATCACCGGACTACATTAGCTCTAATATCCCTCCTTCTCCATCCTCCTGTTTTAAAGCCTCTGTCTTTCCTCTTTGTGTGATGTGCATTTGGTATCAGATATCAGCAAGCCAGAGCCAAGGGCTGGGCTGCTGCGGCCCATGTCTGAGCAAGATGCACCTCCACGACTATTCTCTCTACCTCTCTAAACAACAGCAAGAAACACATGTTCTGTTACTGAGGATCAAGCACACAGCCTGCAGTTTAACTCACACTGACTATACAACAATTATGCTGAATGTTTCAATCCAAAAATAATAAATCATAAAAATGATCTTCACTCAAGGGAACAAATCATGTGGCAGCTTTGATTGAAAAAAATAATTTATAAATATATATATATATATATATATATATATATATATATAAATAAAAAAAAAGAAAACAAAGTGTTTACATTTGCTCTACCATCAAAGAGCTAACTTAAAGACGTGACACACTGAAGAAACATTTTTTAAGCTGGTCTAACATTTCATGTGCCTTCAGCCACCTTCTGCAAGTGCCCCAACAATAAATCCCTGCATAATATATAACTGTTAAGGAACATCTCATACCTACTCTGCACATTTTCTCTGCTCCCTGTCACCTTCATTTTAGAGTGCTGATGTCAATGAGCGTTTTTCTTCACACCCGTATTCCGACAAGCCCCGCCTCCTGCGCTAGGACTGGCGCTAAGTATCCCGTCTCCTATTGGCGTACTGCTTGTAATTATGAACTATTAGCCAATCGCAGCGCCGAAGGCGGGTCTTGCCGGAATACGGGTGTGGAAAAGAAAGCTCCCTGTGACGGGGAACGCCAGCTTGCATCTTCTCCCGGAAAACTCCGCGCTAGCTGTACGATGTCATTTGAGATTCTCAGATACTGACAACGTGAGCTCGTCGAGATGAAATAACTAAGCAGGCTGATGTCTAACCGGCGACATATGGATTTCATAAATATCTGTAATGACGAGCCACTGAGCTACTGAAAAGGCAAAGGTGCAACTGTTCAATATCAAAAGAATCATGTAGACAACTGTACTTTTCTTGTAGCCTACATACAACAGAGGTGTCGGGCGACAGAAGTCTTTTGATGCATCAAGAGGCAACTGTGCCTCTCACCTCCGCGCAGTGAACAAACAAACCATACTGATGAATTATTGCGCAAATGACTGCGCAACATTTATGTTCAACAACGTTAAACTGCCGCCCACCGCCCGCCCTCCACATCAGCCGTTACAGTTTTGTCCGCACTGCAGCCCGAGCCCAGCGCGAGACCCACAAATATGGGCGTTGCCCTGGAGATGGGCTGTCTAAGCTACGCACGCCCCGCCCACAACGCGCTACGGACCAATGGGCAGAGTTTAAAAGCAATAAACGGCGTTTGATCATCGTCCATTGGCTCAATGACAAACCATCAACTAAAGTCATAAAGCAGCCCCTCCCGCCGGAGCCCTGATCGAGAGGCACTGTGGGAAAGGTAGTCCGTTAAGAGGACGAAGAACGAAGTGACAATGCCACGCGTCCCGACATCCAAAACTACAAATACCCAAGAGCAGGTGATTTCAGCCAACATCTGACGTATGACCGCATTATGTTGCATGTATGTAAATTATTCGCGATTTTCTTTGAGCATAAATAATGTACACAAAACGAAGCGGCGTCTTTTTTTTAACAAAGGGTGATCGGGGGGTAACCGAATATTATACAAAAAAGCCCTGAAGACTGTATGCCGGGGAAACCTTGTGCCAAAAAATGAGCATCTTGCACCTTGTCCAGCGCAGCATCACTACTGACAGGCTGCCAACACACACAGGCTAACACCACAGCGAGTAAAGACATCACCCAGGCGGGCAGAGCGAGAGGAGAGAAGGGAAAACAGAGCTGCAGACCTGTTCTTCTGTCGTCGCAGTAGAGTCTCGAAGCGAGAGGCTGGCGGAAGGCGCATCATTCCGCTGCGCTTTTTGCCCCCGCTCGCTGATGCACCATTTTTTTCTGCCTCCTCTTCTCCTCCGCTCCGGCTCTGAATCAGCAGCGCGCGGATCCTCCCAGCATGCGCCGCGCGCACGCGCCGCACAGAACATGGCGGTTGCGTAGCAACTCGGGAGAGGCGCCGATTCCCACACGCAGCACTGCATGGAGCTCAGATTCCTCCGCATCTCTCAGAAGTCTACAAAAAGGACAGATGTGCAATTAATTAAAAGGGAAACTCCACCGATGTGTTCAAAAATTCTACATCATTACATGGTTGTGACGTAAACGAATTCATTCAGTTAAGGGGAAACTCCACCGATGTGTTCAAAAATTCTACATCATTACATGGTTGTGACGTAAACGAATTCATTCAGTTAAGGGGAAACTCCACCGATTTGTTCAAAAATTCTACATCATTAAATGGTTGTGATGTAAACAAATTCAGTCAGTTAAGGGGCACTCCACCAATTTGTTAAAAAATTCTACGTCATTAAATGGTTGTGATGTAAACAAATTCATTCAGAGTGGTTTGACGTGAAACGCTCCATTCTACAGAAACTTGCAGAGTCCGCATGGCTCGGAAACCTCCTTACCAGAAAGTTATTGCATGGAATGGTTAGACATATGCTGCCTGATGTCTGAATATTCTATGACATATGATAGTTTTTGTGATAAAGTTTTGGCTTATAATGTATTTTTAATCCACTTACTTTACCCCTCAGATGGCCAGGGCCCACAAGCAGGCCCAGTGTTTTACTACACACTTCTATAATCTAAGAACAGCTCAGCCGGTTTGCAATGAAGTCCCTGCAGTTACCAAATACTAAGCCTTAGTATGTAATGAGCCTGTGATTTTAAAGGGATTACTCAGTTCATGGCACAGGGATACATGCAGGGCATTATGAGGCAAAATAGTCCCCAAAGAAAACTTACTTTTTCAGATTTATGACTATTTTACCACCATCAACATTACATGTAAAAACTCAGAAGACACATGTAGGTCCTTTGGTGGTTTTATATAGTAAATAAAATGGCTATATTTGTACTGCAGTCATTGCGACCCCTGGTTCCTATCACCACCACTGTAAAGAAATCTGAGACTGTAAGTTTCTCTAAAATTAACCATTTCACACCAAACCTCTCTGATTGACTCTGGAATTCCCCTTTATGACTTGCAAATCATGTATTACATCAGATCTTAACATGAACAACACAGTGGCTCGAAATAATGGGGTCTTGAAAACATTCCCTCATTAATTCCACTAGTAAGTAGGCTAGAATTTCTGGATGTTGAAGAGGCTGCAGAATAATAAGCCCTGACAAACATAAAATGGGTTACTGACAAACATGAAATAGCTTGAAACTGTCATTAAAACAGTACATTTTCCCTTATTACATTTTATTTAACATATTTTTTAATAACAAGTTATTTCCCATGATCCTAAAATACTACTATTAATAATAATAATAATAATAATAATAATATTTGACTATTTTTTTCTGAATGAGCAATAATATTCCTTTCACTACCTGAAATAGCATATAGGCTACTATTTAAACCTAAGTCAAAACAGTTTACAGAACAGCAGGTATAAACACAATACTTATTAGTTTTGTAAACTGGAATATGTCCCATTGGTTACCCTTTTAAGGAATTTTAATAATTTGTCAGCTTTATTTTGAGGGTTTGTACAAGATCTTATCTTCCTTAAAACAAGGTAAATAGGTATCCTAGACTGTCTGAATGATCTGTAGGCTACAAAATAATCTGTCTATCAGTGGCAAACATGCAGGAACTAAACAAAGTGTAAACAGCTCACAGGTTAGAATCTTACTAAAGAACCGTTTTAAATTACGGTTGTCAGTTTTCCAAAGTGGGACGTATAGCACACCCAGGAACTTTCCATTTATTTTAATTTTATTTTGCATCCAACATTTGCATTCAGTTATCCGTTGGCTACTTCCAATAAAGTAAAAGCAAAAAGGCAAATAATACACCACCATTTCTGCCATTTACATTATAATAGCATAGGCGGTAAATAATGAGGCTGGTGATCCCTGTGCTTGAAGGTGTCAGTTACATTATATAAACATTTCCCTCACTATCTGCTCACAAGAAAAAACGGGCAATTTTATGTAAGTTAACATCACAAATACGAAACTTCTGCATGAACTACATGGTACAGAATAATAACCTTGTCACTAACATAAAACTGTCTAGTTAAAGGATCTCAGCTTAGACCACAACAGAAGATCGGGTTTAAATACGTGCATTTTAATGACATTATTTTAACTAAGAACTTTACTTCGCCCATTTTCTGTATTTGTGCTGAAGTAAATTCATCAGCTACATCCGTCTCCAGCCTTTTCGTTTTCTCTGGCGATTGCGATGTTTGACCCTCCAAGCGTGCTGTAGTGCCGCGATCACGTGACGCCGCACGAAGGCTGCATACCAAACGCTAGCTTGCCCCCTACCTAGTGCACTAGAATACCACACAGAACAGCTTCATGGTTTCTGCCGCACTAACAGTGCACTACATGTCAAAGAATAAGGCGTTTGGGATTCGGACACAGCCGCGCACTTTCACGTTGCTCACAGCAGCGCGCTGGTGAACAGTTTTAGAGATTTGACGTGCTGTTGCGGAGGTGAACATGGCCGACGTGTCTGAGAGGACGTTACAGGTTGCCATACTGGTCTCGTTTGCCACGGGCTTCCTCGCAGGCTGGCAGGCCAACAGGATGAGGAGGAGGTTTCTGGACTGGAGGAAAAAACGGCTGCAGGACAAACTGGCGGAGACGCAAAAGAAGCTGGACTTGGCGTGACCGAAGGATCTGACACCACAGGCCTGGTAAGAGTGGATACACGCTGAAGGAGTTCGGGGCTGTGTCCCAAAAGCACAGACATAACCTACAGCTGTCACAGTAGTTAACCTACTATAAGCCTGGAGTTACAGTGTTTCAGCCATAACTCAACTGCAGAGGTGGACCGAGTAGCCTAAAACCATCCTGAGGTAAAAGTCTTAAGTAATGACTGAAGCAGAAATAAAAGTAGCTACAAATGTTCAGGTCCAAAAACTCAGTTCTGGGTTCTCTGTAAAACTGCAGTGTAACTTGGTACACAAAGCATCAGCAAAGCAGGTACTAAACAACACTGAATTAAGTGGAGGCCAAAAGGACTAAACAAATATACTTGAGTAAACCTAATATCCATATTAAATTCCCAGGAAAGTGCAGGTCCATTAAAATTCTGAAAGGTTTGACAGCTACTGCCCACTTTTGCTCAACTATTTCTGCTCAATAAATGTTATATAATAATTTTCACTTTTGTGTGGTTCTGCATGTTCCCCCCACGTCAGGCCTCCTGAAATTGACAGTGTTCTTGCCCTGCTGCGGCCTCTGACCCTGGCTAAGAAGTCACCTTCAGATACGGCCACCTCCTGTTCCCTCCTGAGAAGTTTGAACACTATACAGACGCTGGAGTGATGCACTGCAATGCAATTCTCAAAAAACTAAACTTTTTTTATTTGAGGATGAATGTTTTATGTAGATTTTTTTTGTAACAGGCGATCTGTTTTAAGCCATACTTTTTATGTCATCTGCTTGTACCATCATGGAATAAAAGAAGCTATTTTGTTTATTAAAAATTCCCGGCATTGTATTCACTTGAGGATGAGCCGAAGCCATTGAAGACTGACCATATATAAGTTTGAGCGCAGGCTTGTGTAATAAGCTATACGGGTCATTTCCACAAAAGTGTTTGAATGACAGGGAGATAATAGGGATTAATTTTTGTTCATTCTACTTGTGCAGTTCCATAATAGCTACGAACCCCAGAAGGTGAGGGCTAATGTTTATTTGGTGAAGAGCCCCAACTGTGCACAGTAAGACGACTGTATTACTGGGGGGTCATTTACTGCAGCTGACTCTAGCTTTCTGGATTACACTGGACCCAGATTAATTTGCATGTAAAGTCAAATCCTTAAGTGAGGTTAGCTATAACGCATACTGTGATTACAGAGCAATGGTTGTTTTTATAGCAGAGCCATAGATTCAACATTGGTTCTGGGCTCATAATCAGTGTTAACATATTTTGATGAGTTTGTAATGTTTGGAGGGCGTTTTAACTCATGCATTTTATAAACTGTTGCCAACCTCACTGCGGCCTAGGCTTTCAGATTAATTTTGGGTGTTATATATAAAAACTCAGACACGTGTACACATGTAGGTTCACTGGTGGTTTTGGATAGTAAATAAATGGGCTATATTTTCTGTTATAGACATGGTGACCCTTGGTTCCTATCACTGCTACTGTAAAGACATTTGAGTCAGTAGGTTTCTCTACAATGAACCACTTCATGTTAAACTACTCTAAATGACTATTTCAACCACTGAATTATGCAGAAATTTAGCAAAATCAGTGGAATTCCCCTTTAAACATGGACCAAGATTAATCCGTGAGGCAGAAAGGAAAGTCTTTTTATTCTATGTATTTTTTTTAAGAATCTATTGTTAAGATTGTCATCTAGTGGATGAATGTAGTAACTCAAAAAGTGTGATATAACAATGTGACGCAGTCTTTAACTTACCCTGAGCACTGCTTTGAAAAAATGTAATTATGGGGAAAAAAAGCAAGTGAAAGAAAAAGCTCACTTAGTTATGGGAAGTTTCATTAACGAAAAAGCCTTTCAGACATGAAAAAAGTTATTAAGTTTTTAATTTTAAAAAATATCTTTCTTTTTTTATTCCATTATCAACTTTGGTATTAATAACAATTGTTTAAAGACTTCAGTTGTTAAATATTTTCTGTCTCACGACAGCCTACATTGTCTTAGACTGAGTTGATAGTGATGGCCTTGTTTACAGGCTAACAGTTATCTATAGCCTTGATGGCCTCTAAAACTCAACGTTTAGCTACCGCCGCGTCCCAAACCGCATACTAGCACACTAAATAGTGTGTAAAAATAGCGCGTATACCATTATAAGTGCACTCATTAGTTTAGTATGTGAAGTGCAGAAGTGTGTGGTTTGGGACGCGGCGTACGTCTTAATGTGTCGCAAACACAGTTAAATAGGCCTACTTTATCAACGTTTAAACTGGTTAATTTATATAAACATGAATATTTTAACATATTGCCTATTTTAAAGTAATACGAACAAAAATTTACATTAACTACAGAGTGGTAGAAAATTAATACAATTAGTTAGCGTTAGCTAGCTTACCTCGCTACCTGTTTCGGACCGTCTCCAAACAGAAGGATTTTATCTACCAAAGTATTTTTATTACTTAAGTTCCTTCGTTACTAGCTAAGGTTTTTAGCTGTTTTTCCTCCATTTCGGTGTTTCGGTCTTCAGGCGCTGAGCGGATTAATCTGGAACAGCCCAACGGCTTTAACGGTCAAAGTCTATTTCAAATTCAAAAAGCGTCGCGCGCTTCACTGTAAACTGTACAGTAGGGCTCTTCGAGTCCAGAAATTTTGGAGTCGACTCCGATTCCAAGTGACAGGAATAGATGAAGTCGATTCCAAGAGTCGATTACACATTTAAACTCGACTCAAAAAGCAAGTCACATACAGCGGGACTCTCGAAGCATAGATACACATAGCGTTACCTAGATTCCGTGTTGGGTCCAGCCAGGCGCGTCAACAGCGCCGCCATTTTGGGGCGGTCAACACACTGCTGGACTGCATTCAGTACTATTACAGAGCAGCAGTTTAAGAAATATACTGTCCAAAATTACACTATTTCAACAATATTGCACTCAGAAAGCAGGATAGGATTATATAACGGAGGGAACGCAGCGGTCCACTCTCATGTTTGTGTGATGCGTAATGTGTGTGTGATGTAAAGAAATAAAAGCTACAGAGAGCAGTCCGAGCAGCCTAGATTAATCTGTGTCTGAGGATTATAACAAAACAGATTTGGGGAAAATCAGTTGAGTAATAAGGAAGTTGTGGCCGATTTAATCCTGAAACTCTTCATCTCTCAGTACAAGTGAATTTCTTCACGAGGGGATCTTGACCGCTCCAACATGGCGGACACGCAGACGTATCGCCTCAGCTAGAGAACAACAGATAACACGGCATCTAGATATGTATATCTATGATTGGAAGTATGTAGAAGGAGAAATCCAGAGTCATATCATCGGTTTCTGGTTTTAGGCTATTGTGCAACGACCTGAAATTGTTTTATGAAAAAAGCTAAAATAAATAAATAAAAATCGTTAAAATTATTAAAGCACTGCAAAGTAACATAGATCCTATCCATGTATGACTTATATGCCAGCCAGCCATATATTTTATTATTATTTATTTAGTTACTTTAGATAAATACTAGTTTTATTTATCTAATTTTATTTTTCCTTGTTGCTTATGTGTGAATGTATGTATTGTCTCTTCATTTGAATATGTTTAATATAAATGTTTGCTTAATTCTTTTAAGATGTAATTGAAGCAGTACACTTACGCCTGTACATGACTGTTAACACTAAATTAAAGTATGTGGAAGGAGGCAAGTGCGGGCAATTTGAACGTCATTGTGTTGAATCGAGTCCAAAGCTTTGGAGTCGACTCTTGATTCCTGAATACCAGGAATTGAGGCATCGATTCTTTTCGGGATCGACTCCCAGACCTACTGTAACGGATATCAACAGGCGACATACTAAAATGATCCAATAGAATACTTGAAAACATTAAGACTTTCTTAAAGGAATAAAAGGATATTAAAGATTTTCTTTGGAATTTTTTTATGAATCTTTTTTGATTTAGACACTGCAGTGAATTGAAAAACCGATGTGATGCTGTGAAATTAAAATGCCATTATTTCTCCAGCTTCTTTAATCTTTCAGGTTATAACACAGATGTAAACACTGCCGAGAACTGCAAAACGGTTCAGTTCATTCGAGCTTCAGAGCCGGTTCAAAAGAACCGATTCATCCACGAGTCGGACATCACTATTAGCAACCGTCTGCCGCGTCCTTCGTGGAGCTGGAGTTCGTATTTTGATCCACAGTTATATTTATTTTACATATTACGGATTTAAATATGACCACAGTGTTATGAGGACGATGGCACCGAGAAAGAAGGGACCACTGCAAACGGTGCAAAAGGAAACAGACGACATTAAAAGAGAGGTTTGTAACGTTATCGAGACGCACCGGTGTGGTGCCACATCGTGTAGCCCGGCGAATCCTGCACCCACTCGTTTCCATTGGTCGAAACGGAGGACCCCACACTTTTTAGAACGATATTTGTGTTAGTAAATATAACAGCATCAGTACAGTAGTGAATTGGCTACGTTGCATAATAAAGTGTATCTAAATCAGATAATTTGTCTAACTTTACCTTTTTCAGTAAAGCATGTCTAGCGAAAAAAGAAAAATTTAAACTTTTGAAACATGTTTAGCTAAATCTTCCATTCAGCCTTGTTTAGTTCAGTCTTTGAGAATATTTATCTAAATATTGTTCTCTATTTTGGTGTAGTTTCGTGAGATTCGAGGAGTTCGTATGATTTTAAGTCAGGCAGCCACAACAGCTAACAAAGGGACCTTTCGATGCAGGTCTGCGCACGACGCACGATATGGCATAACAGCGGTGCTGGCTAACAGAAGGTGTGTTTGGTCACTAGTCAGGAATTTAGGCTGTGCTTTTGAGAACTTTAGGACATTTCCATCCGGATTTTCTGGGTTAAATAACTGCAAAAATATCTGATATTTCACTGTTTGCTTATAAACACGACAAACTCAGGAACGCCAGTCCAAAAGCAGAAGAGAAGCGTTTCTAAATTTTCAAATTTGGCCAGTTTTGGTCAGTCTTATTGTTGTTCAAGCCATTTATCAGTGGTGGACGAAGTACACAAACCATGTACTTGAGTTAAAGTAGAGAGACCCAAGGTAAAATATTACTCCAGTAAAAGCAGAAGTTCCTCCCTTTAGACCTCCACTTGAGTAAAAGTACAGAAGTATTCACCTTCAAATGTACTTAAGTATCAAAAGTGAAAGTACTAAAAGATTAATTATGACTTTAATGTTCTATTATCATTTTTGTAACAAGACTCTTCATTAACTCATTTTAAGTGAAAATACTCAGTGTCACTCTTGGTAAACCAGTCTTTTAATAGAATGTCATTAATTAGTGACGCTGATGTCTATTAAAATCATCATAAGCACAAAACACTGAAGGCAAACAGTTTCCATCAGGTAGAACTGAGTGGCTCTGAAATCACTTTTTACAAACAAGCAAAGTTTCAGTTTAAGATTTATTTGCAGCTTAGTTACAAGTTTAAGTTTAATAAAAACTTTAAACTCAGATTCACAAATGAGTTTCCTTTACTAAACTGCGTCTGTAGGTCTCTGTTCATAAACATAAACTAGCCAAAACAAATTTACTATAAAATGAAATGTGTTTGTATAAATTCAGAATAAAGACCCGTCAGTCACAACTGCATATGTGTACATATTTCTATATTGTGGTCTGTTTACACAAAGTTAGGTTAGTTCATCATTTATGTTGAATAGACTCTCCCAAAATTTTACACTGCTGCACTGATGTTGAACCGTGTGCTGCACTGGGTCGGTATGACCAACAGGTCAAAACAAGCTCAAAACAAAGTGACCGCTGTGCCCTGATTGGTGTTCTTGCTTTGCGCT